GATATTATCTCTTAATATAAGATTTTTCGCTAAGAATTTTTTTGTTATCCTTATTTCTTTTGTATTTAATATGTATGTCTATATTTAATGTTTTTCTACTGGAATAACCGTTACTCATAGCATCGGTTCTCGTTAATTTATATTCTCGGATGATCGACGTTGTACTGTACAATGTAGGGATAGTTTGTTTTTTCATGACATATACTCTGAAGCTAAATAATTGTCGCATGAACGCGCGCATTTATAATTAAGTCATTAAATATATGCACTTATGTATCGAGTCCAGTGAAGAAAATATGTAGTAATTTTTTATTGCGTTTTGATCGCAGATTTACTTGATCTTTTGCAGTTCGTTTTTTATATAGAAAATTTGTTGAATGCATGTTTGTTATATTTTTTCTTGTATGAGTATCGGAACATGTATTATTATTATTGTTGCTGAAAGAGGATTACTATTGTCACTGCTATTGTTGCTACTTCTACTACTTGCGATTATGATACTATTATTAAGTGACTCTTAATCTACTATTACTATCGCTCAAATCTCTTTCTCCCTATACATCTATTATTGATATCTTCATTATGTATTATTGCAAGTGGCATTGTCGTTAGAGATATTTTAATTATCGATATTGCAAATACATTGTATTAATTGCGCCTGCAAAAATGTTTAATAGTTAGATACATAAAACATATCAAGAACGTCACACGTTTAGTATAACATGCGTTTCTCGAATTTATCCTTTTCTTTTTTACTTTCATTCCCTTATAACAAATTACAGTTATCCATGAACATAATTAACAATGTCTACGCATTTAATGTTAATGACGTTTAGTAAAACTCCAATTGTGTAGCAAAATTAATTAATTTCATTATATATTATATTTGTATTGTTCTTGCAATTCTCTTTATTATCGTTAATTTATAGGGATCTAAAATGTCTGACACGCACTGTATAGAATCATTAATGATAGATGGTTTTGATTGTACAAGGTGATTATTGGCGATGTGATTAGATAATTTTGGAAAAAAAATTAATAAAAAATGCAGTATAAAATTTTTCTGCATAAAGTTTTCTAAGAAAACTTTTTGAAAAATTAAGAAATTAATTTTTTCTTTTACATTTGCAGTTTTCATCGATATTACCACCGATTACGTAAATTTATTTTAATAGTAATCAAGAAAATTTGAATAAACATTTATTCTATTTAAAAAAATAGAATCTTGATAATAAATAACACATTTGACAATTTTAATTACTCTTTGTTATTTTTTTAAGTTGAGAAGATGTTGAATCTTTTTTGAAGATATGAAGAGAAGAATCTTTTTATTCATATTTTGATTGCTTCAGCAAAATAATGACTGAAAGAACTAATTGTGTGAAATTGATTACAAAGATATAACTGAAATTTTAAAATTAAACGGTTACTTTAAATAATTTTCGTCAAAGAAAAATATCTCGACGATATTGAGATTAAGATTACATATCGCAACACCTTGTATAGTCGAAAAATAGAAAATAAGTAAGATAGCATCGTACGCGTGTACGGTTTGAAAATATGTATAAGATGGTTCCTTTGCTACGCACAATGCGAAATCATCAAGATCTGTTTTGATGTATTTGATGAAGGCTTTTCAGTATTGTATGTTAATTTTTTTTATAAATCCTTATACGGTATGTTGAAAATATACATTTTACTGTTAAGACGATGTATCATATTCTGCAAAATGTGAAAAATTCATTATCAGGATATTCGTGATTACGAATGATTACAGCATTCAGCTCACGCATCCTTCGCTGTACTACAATTGTACAGCGTGGACATGTAAGGGAACGATTCATACAAGGAATCTGAAAGAAATCTCTCAAAGTGGCAAAGGTGATAAATCTAGACAAATTTTTAGTAGATAATCTAGATAAGAGACAAGTGCAAGATGCTAGGGAATGCACTTTTTAATGGAAAAAGTATTGGGAGATGGATTTTTCATTTGAGGAATTGGAAACGGAAGCCTCGCTTGCCATATGTAATCTTAATAAAACATTTTCAGACGGCTTCTCGGTGTTTTCCTTCTACTGTAAGTTATAAACTCCAAGTATTAATTTCAATACAAAAATTAATAATGTTTTTTCGCCGCAATATATTAAAATATATTTACAATAACGAATAGAAATTTTACAAGAATATCATTAATTCTACAGTACATTTTTTTAACATAACCGATTCATTGATGCAAAAGTTACTTTATCGTGAATACTTTCTTAAATAATAATCCTTGTACTGGATATCATATGAATTCATCAATTCCTCTGGAATGCGTCATAAAAATCTGATTGCAGTGTTGGGTGAATAGATTTACAAGTATGAATGTTATGCAGTATGACGACATCATTCACACTGATGGGGAATAAATATATATAAGAATAAAAAAAACAAAGTTCTGTACGTTACACAAATCTTTGGCTTGGATACGTTAAATGCACTGATAATAATTAAAGTTTAAATTAAAGTTATATTAAAAATTTGCTTGAGATCAATTGGTTTGTCATTAATCAATTTAGCATAACTGATACTTATCTACGTATCTACGTTTGTTAAAGATGTAATCTTGTTTTTAACTAATAACCCCTGACGTTACAATACGTTTATTTATAGTTCGGTCTCATTCTGTAGTTCACAGGAAAACGCGTAACTTCCGAGGCACTCTGTACGTGCTGATTTCGTCACGCATTCTACGTGTAAAAGAACGTCACGATCTGTTCTCATTGAATCAAGGATTATGAATCATATTCTTCGTGAGTAACAT